GTCCTCCACAACTAGACTGAAGAACAAAAGGACAGCAACTTGTCTGCTCTCCTTCCCCCGATTCCCCAGCGCTGCTTCCCTCCCCCAATTTCCCAATAAAATCTTATAAAAAAAGATATAAAATGTTTACTTGCTATCATTGCAACTCATTTTTATGACCTAAAAAATTAAGTTCACTGATAGTGTCATGCTGGTGACTGCAAATATATGGGGCTTGAGGAACTGTAAAGCTCTTTTTTAAAGTTAAAATACTTGTCACAAAAAGGGACTTAGTAAATGTTGAATGAATACAGAAATAAATCTGGAAAGAAATAAACTAGTCTTCTATAAGCTATCTCTTCTCATTAATATAAAAAATATATATAGGCTACAAATTCCTGCTGATAAATATCTTCTATGGAGGAGATCCCCATATGTATCTAGAGAAAGAATATGACTTCTTATTTCAGATTGTTCTCTGATAATTTCTGCTTGAATAATCATAAGCAGAGCAATCAAAGATTAGTACTTTTACAGTGTTTAAAATGTCATTGTATTTACCAGTCTTATATTCTCAAGGCAACTGGAAAGAAGAAAAACATACTTGAATTATTAATTTGCCTTAATAACTATTTTTCTTTATCATGAGAACTACTAACCACAGTTACAATTAAAATGAACAGCAACCTCCGAAACTGAAAGGATTACATGGTAATGTGACTATAAGAATGTCAAGGGTCTGACATTTTCTGTTCCATGGGATCAGACTGTACAAAATTAACTTATGTTATCATCTAGAAGGTTTGCTCTAATTTATAAATTAAAATTTAACAAATGGAAACTATTCAGAAACACCAGTATTTCATCATTAATATTTTAGATGATCAATACCTAAACCTAACAAAATCTCACCCTAAAAATAATCTATTTTACATTTGGGATGCAAATCTTAACATATGGTAATTTTTAAAAATGTAAAACACCTTAAGATAGTTTTACTGTCTTAAATTGCTTGACAGACTATACAAAATTCCTAATATAAATTAACATCCTACTATACATTATACCAGAATTATAACATAAAAGTCAAACACAAAATCATCCCTAAAATGAATAAATTCCACCAAGTAATATCAGTAACCTAAATCAAGCAATTTGAAATGTTTTTATTTCTTCATATATTTACTACAAAATTTATTCTCTGAAGAGAATAATAAATGCAGAGCAGGCAAGCTGACAATTCAAAATTTACAAATTAGTGAAAGGATATTAATTTCACAATGTTGTTTTTAAAAATTCTCCAATATCAAATTAAATTTTGTCAATAATTAATAATTAAGTTAAAATTATCTGCTTGTAATCTCCAGATTAAAGGTAACTTTATTAAGGCAATTGCCACAGCAAAGGAAAACATCCTAAAGTTACAACGAAAGAAAAAAGTTTCCTCAAAATGTTGGGAAAACAATGACACCATAAAAAGTTCATTTTATTTAATGTTATATTTGGTTTGCCAATAATATGTAGCATAAAAAAATCCTTTAAGTATTTTTTATATAGAAAACCTAAGATAGCAACTGTAAGTGTATGGGCTTAAATATCCCAAGAAAATGAATTGTTTCAATATACTGGTTTCAATTTAATTTGTACATGTTTGGAAAGTAGCTTTAAATCATCAAGGACATGTAATTGAGAGAGTAGAGAGCACTTTGTTCTTACCCTTCTCAACTGAAAAAAAAATTGATCTTCTGAATACCTCTGTAATATTTGTTAGGTATTATATACTTTTTCTATTTAAAAAACCTAGCAGGTGAAGTCAGAAAACATCAAAGCTTGCTAATAGCAAATTTTTAATGTACATTTTGTATCATTACAGTGGGATATCTTTAATCAATCATGCAACTAAGCACGAATACCAAAACATAGATCCCCACTTCAATATCCAAATATTGTGAAAATTTGGGCTACTTGTATAGCCATAAGATATGATGCCAGAAGACAGAGGTGATATTTTTTCTAAATACCTTATTTCTTTATTCAAAATACACAAAACAGACAGTATATGTATAAAACATGCAGTCCAGTCTTTGGCCAACTTACTTACCTTGAACCACATGAAGTCCTTGCCATTTGGAAGAAAATTCTGGGTAACCACATATAAGTGCATAGGTAAGATGAAAGTTCTTGTTAGGGATTTCAGTTCCTGGCTCAAATTTACCTCTCACTTTACTTCTCTCCCCACTTACTTAAATTGAATTAAAGCACCATTTATAATATAACTAAGCTTCTGTGGGCAATTTTAATATAAATAAAAATGCCAGACATTCATAGCTCAGTTGCTAAAATTTATAAGCCATAAAGACATTACAAATCTATTCATTTCAAAAAGCTCTACAAGGGCCGGCCAAGTGGCTCAGTTCGTTAAGAGCTCGCTCAAGAGCGCGAGCTCTGAGCAACAGCAGTTTGATTCCCGGCCTGAGCTGAGCTGCCACTGAGCTGCCAACAGGTGGCAGGATGGCTCAGCTTAAAAAAGAAAAAAAAAGCTGTACAAAACAAGCTGTTGACTAAAGCTTAGCAGGCTGGTATTTAATTCACCAAGCAGCCCACTTTTAAAATGTTAACATATTTATTACCTAAAAGTGACCCAGAATATCTGCAATGACTAAGGCAAAAAAAAAAAGAAAAAAGCACCTTTATTTTCTCTGATAGTAGGAAGCACCTAGTTTCTCAGATTAAAAAATAATAATAATAAAATATCACATGACAAAGAAACAAGAAAAGACCCAAGAGTTACATGTTACAATGTCTGAAGCTGGATAATGAAAAGGTAACTCATATTTCTTTTTTGTTAATTTATCTTCAGTACCTGAGTTAAGGCATAAAGCAGCAAGAGTGCAACTGATTCCAAACAACTTGGAATTTTATTGTAAACATCCCATAAAGAATGGCAACAAATTAGTCCAGTTTTTTTTTGTCTTTGAAGATAATTGCTTATAATGACTGATAACTGCCAAACAAAACATCTCTTATAAACCAAGCCAGTTTAGTTTACCTTTCTTTACTGAATTTTAGTTTAATGGACATTTTGTCCATGTAAAACATCACATCAATTATTAACTGTTCTTTCATCTTAAAACTTATGGATACTAAGAACAAACATAAGGTACAGTTTTGTTAATACTTTGTAAGAGATTACAAAAGACAAGGATGGTAAGTTACAAGACAAAGAAATAAATTACTGATTGCCATCACCACAGTATTGTTTAAAGAATTAACATTTGTAGTACTGCCTAATGTGCATCTGGTGACATATGTAAAAACACATTTCCCAACTGGATTTCTAAATATTTTTGTATGTGATTTTAAAAATCAATTACCAATGGCAATTTTAGTTTGTATCAATAGCCTTACTTTTTAGAAAATACTTATCATGCTTTTATATGTCAAAGTCTCATATTCCAGACTTAAGATAGGTATAAGAATAACAAATGGACATATATAAATAAACAAACACACCTTAACTTTAAACTGCAGGGCCATTTCACTGTACTTCTCCTATCAATGAATCATAAATTGCCAGTCTTGTTGAAGTGTGCTAAACTAGGTAAAGTATTCACTGCAGAAAGAGAAGTGAGGATAAAAGCAGGAGAGGAATGAATGAAAAAGGAAATAATCAAGGATAAAGCTACATAAGAAATAAATGTCAAGAAACTTGAGGGCGCTCCACATTCCTCAAAATACAGCACCATGAAAAAATTTTAAACTTCATATTAGAATTCATTCAAAACTTGGTAAACTTGGTAATGAAAACTTGGTAAAGAAACTTCACTAAGAGATAAAAAGAAAATAACGAAAACATTTTCACACTAATTTTTAAAACAAGTCTTATAAGTGATCTTAGAATATTCTATTTTCAACAAAACTTTCACAAAGCCTCATGTACCACAGAAATGTTGGGGGTGGGGTTAACATTTAAAACAATGAACTTTAAATGTCAAAAGTTCCATTCCTTCCTCCAGAACTAAAAGGCTGGACATCCAAGTATACTAACAATTATACAAGATGTAAGTCTCCTTTTTGTGGATGTCAAAATTCCAACTTTAAAGATAAGTACCAGTTGGTAAATGTGCATAAAATAATTTTCAAGATATATAAGTAATAAGGTGTTTAATTTATCACTACCACAAACACATACATTTTGAAAAATGCTCAAAAAAGTTTTTCTGAAAAAGTTGGAGGTGGCATTCACATCTTTCTCTAAAATCACTGTTATTGTCTGAGGACAATCAATAGGATTACAATAAAAAAAGATAAATCACTCAAATTTATTTCAAAGTATTGGAAGGCTGAGTTAGATATCTGAGCGCACAGTTGTATGAATGAGATTTATGAATTTCACTCTGGGAGAAACAAAGTGCTATTTGAAAGAATTCTAGCACAAGCCTGATTCTGGGAAGGGAAGCAGAAAAAAGAAATAAATGAAGGGCAAATTAAATGAATAGAGGGACACATGTACACAACAAAACCTAGATTGTTTATCTAGAAGGTATAATGAAATGGATGATCAAGCAGTATATATACAGGCTAAGTGCTTTACAACAGACACAAAGAATTGGTAGACAGTGAACACAGCTGTCTTCCATACAATATATTCTTTTTTTTTGTCTGAGATAAAGTGTTTTAAGTTGAAAAAAAATCTACACACACACATGCGCGCACGCACACACACATAAATTTAGTCAGTAGGCTAACAGGCTAGTGAATGTTTTGGAGCGCATCTGATTGCTGAAGTGATACATACAGCAAGCCATAGAAAAAACACACAATTCTGTTTTCTAAGCAGATACACATGCTAAGATCTTAAAGCTTGGAATTAAAACATTATTACCATTCATGAGAAATGCTATAGTTTGCTGACTATTAATATCTAGCACAGGATTAGGCTTTACATCTGTATGCTCTCATGGGCCTAAATATAAGTGTTTTTTTCTTAGCAATTCATTTAAGATTGACTTTTCTTCAACATTCTTAGTTCATTTCCTACTTGTTTTGCTATGGCTGAACCCAGATCTTATTTAGGTTTAAAGGGCCTCTAAAAAATTAAAGCAATAAAATATTCAATGCAATACAAATTACAACACATTCACAGGAGGCAGTGTTACAAAAAAAGCAAAGTATAAATTGGGGTAGGGGGAAGTCCAGATATAAAAGTAAAAATACTATCTTCCAAACTTTTATTTTTACACTTATTAAAATAATTTGCATGCAAACAGAAAATGATCTGTTTGTTTTTTAATAAATGATAACTATGTTCATCTATCATACCCTGATAACTAACTCTTTAAATCCTAATAACTGAAATCAACATTACAGCAAAATGCTGTCACTAGTATTTTCACAGTATTTCACTACATATAAAATATGCTTAAAAATGTCTTTAGTCTTATTATTCTAATTATCTAAACCTAAAAAAGCTTGACATTTTGGGAATAAATGTGGCATTTTTATTTTTCAAAATAAATTATAAATAAAGCTTCGGACAGCTAAAATCACACAGATGGCAATTCTTCTACATTTCAAAGAGGTCAGCTCTTCATAGAAGAATGTCAACAAAAAATTTCACACTAAAACGATACATGTGATACACATTTGGGTACATCCATGAATTTAAGTAAGTTGTTATTTTGATTAGGGTAGGCCAAAATGTTATTGATTCCAGGAAACACAGGCACAAATTTAGTCTAAATGCCCAAGAGATGAATAACTAAAATAGTACATTTCAGCAAAAATCAACTATGAACATTTTTAAATCTGTACTATGGTTAAAAGTGGCAGTCGAGTTACAACCAGAAGTTTTGGTTTAGTGGAAAAAAAGCCTACAAAATAAAGTCAGCTTGATCTACTGTCCAGTTAACAGAAGTTAGTGCCATTAACAATTCATAACAATACTTTCTTAAAGCCTGAACATCATTTCTACTGCAAGTGAAAAATTTTTAAAGATGTTAGTCCAAGAATAACCCCCACCCATCCCAACCAAAAAAGCAAAGTTATGTGTGTACTCCTTCCTCTGCATTTAATATTTTCAGATGCATGAAATGATTGAAAGCATGAGACAAACACATTAGCTTAAGAAATATCCTGGGATTACTAGGCATACATTAGTAAGTTTTGTTTATCCCACAAATCTGATCTAAGTGCAGCAAATCTGTTGTTACAAAAACAGAGATCAATATATTCCCTCTCATCTCAAAAATCTAAGTATCTAACAAATTAGTGAACTTGCAATCTCAAATTTGAGGAGTAAAATTGATCTGAGAACTCAACCTCACTTATGGAACCATGTGCACTCTACTGCTGTAAACAAGACCATAAGGGTTTTAAAGATTTTTTCTTCCATCTATAAAATAACTCAAAATATCAGTGTGCAGTGCAATGAGGTTCTTTTCTGAAAGATTATATATAACAGAAGAACCTTTTGGAATGGTATGAGTAGAACCAATTAATGTTGATTCAAAATGTTAGCTAGCCAAAACATTCCAACTCAAACTAGGTGCTTTGTTACATTTTAAAATTCAAATGAAAACCAGTCACTCACAGCTATTAAATTTTAAGTGCTAGAAGAGACATATAAGCAGTAGCCCAAGTCTACTTACATAAATATGTTCTAAGAAGTCTAATGTAGAGCATACTATTCTTATAAAAGTTTAATTACAACTATTAATTTGAGAGCACGTATGATTATTAACAACCTCTCAGCTTATAACTTAGGAGTATTCATTCCCACCAAGCTTGTTCTAGTTCTCCTTAGTCAGTAATGAATAACAGCATCTATTTTCCTTAACGTTCCCAGTAGTTGTAGTTAATAGAGGTAGCTGAGCTACTATTCAAAGTTACTCTTTGTGGATGAGGACTTTTCAAATGGTTATCTTTTAAGCTACACAAGTTCTGTTAATGCAATAAAATATAACAGGGAAAAGAAAATGAATGCAAGAAACTTCTGCATTTGGCACCTTGTCTATATCGATACCTCAAGTACTCTTTTTTAATAAAGTTAATGCACACATCGGGACACACCACAAAGATTTGCTACATATTTACAAGGCACCAACCCTTTCTCACCTTTAACATGAATTAAGCAAATCAATGAAAAGCATATCAAGATCCCCCCACCCCCCAAAAAAAACTGTAGTATAAATATATACTTCAGTTCAATTAATGAAAGTTTGGCCTGGGAAGAGTAAAATAATCCAGATCGTTCTTACAATATAGAAACTGTAAACATTTAATAGCTGCCTTTAGGATTGGTGTATTGTGCAAAAGTTATTATTACTGGGTACAGGAATCAAAATGGCAAAAACAAACTATATAAAACTCTGTAAGAAGGTGCTATACTTCTGTGATACAAAAGCAAAAGAGGGATATTCTATTGAGATAAAAATGTCACGCTACTCTTAAGAAGCTGAATGCTCCTTTAATGTAGTAAATCTGTAGTGTGTCTGTGGTGTGTGTGGTGTGTGTGTGTGTGTGTGTGTGTGTGTGCGCGCAGAATTTTTTTTTAATTTAAGGCCTAATGAGTAAGGCTTGTCTGAACAAATGAAGTGTGGAGATCAAGTCTCGAAACAAATGTATACTGGCATAATGGAAAAGCACCAATGTGAAAGGAAGCATAAGTCCCCACACAACTTGCTTTGTAGGTTTCCTGGGAAATTCCCTGCAGTAGAAGGCCATTGAATTTTTTAAATTATTCTAAATTTATTAACTGTTAATAATTCCATCCCATGAGATGGCTAACCCTGGCTTTTTCTGTCATTTTCCGCACTCTGCCTGATCTGGATGTACCAAGATTCAGGGGATCTTCAGTGGACACAAAATTGTCATTATCAGAATCATCATTATATAAAACAGTCCTCCTGCCCTGGTTTCTGGTTTTAATTCGAGGCAGTCTACTGAAACGTCCTGAAAACATGGTATCAAATTCATCATCTGCAACACGTGCACGCGTGGCTCTGGTGGTTCCTCTGGAAGAACCTCTTCCTCCTCTCCCTCTCCCTCTCCCTCTTGTGCCACCTCCACCTCTTCCTCGACCACCCCGCCCCCTGCCACCTCTTCCTCTGCCTCCTCTACTCCACCTGCCCCATCTGCCCCATCTGCCCCTTCCTCCCGTGCCTCTCGTCTTCCAGTTCCTTTTTCCATTGGCATATTGCTTTCTGAGTTTTCTTTTAGGCCTGGTTTGTATGAATTTGCTATAGTCATGGTCTCCATCTATGTAATCTTGATCTGTTCTGGAAGTTGATTCAGAGTCAGAATCAGAACCACAGGTACTTTCAGAACTTAAACTGGATCCTAACTCTCCACTCTCTGAGGAGGATAAATGTGACTTCTCTTTTGTTTCTTTTTTCTCTTTATCTTCTCTTCCCATGCTTTCATCTTCTTCTGATGCACTAAGCAGTTTTCTCTTGATTCCTGTCCGGAGCTCTCTGCCATCACCATTTGCAAGGGGTCCATCAAGGGATTGATCTAAATCAAGATGAATGATTTTTTCAAGTTAAGCTTTGACACTGGTAAGATAGTTATTTATGTTCAAAAGTAAAATAAACAGTCTATCAAAAAATATATAGTCATGGGATGTAAAGTACAGCATAGGGAATACAGTCAATGGTATTGTAATAGCTATATACAATGCCAGTGGTGTAACAGATTTGGGGGGGGAGGTTATCACTCTGTGAGGGGTATAAATGTCTAACTATTACGTTGTTTTGTACACCTGAAACTAATAAAAAATTTTTAATGCCCAAAGATATATGGAGTAAACTCATGGATTGTTGGGAGTATGAATTTAAATCTTTTTGAAATGAAAGATACTAAAGTTCTGATTTTTGTCTCATTGCTTTTTTGGGGGGAGAGGGAGTGTGCAGGGATGATGGGTGGTGAGATAGCTAGACAGAAAATTTAAGAGCTTGAACTCTAGAAAGTATTATCTGGGAATATGTATCAGAATAATTTCATTTATTCACTCAACAATATTTACTGACTGATTATTATATACTACAGGCCAGGCATTGCTTGGAGCTTGAAATAGGGTGATTATGAGACAAAGTCCTTGCTCTCTGAATTTATATTTTTGTAGGTAAATCTTGCTAGACAATGGAGTGAACAAATAAATAATATAATTTCAACTAATAATACATGCTATAAAGAAAGAGGTGAAAAAAAGAGTGTGAACATATGTACAGGGTATTTTATTTAGGGAAGACTTTTCTGTAGAGGTAGTGTTTTAGAAAAGAACTGAATGAAGTGAGATCTGGACAAAGTACATTCCATCAAAGGAAACAGAAACCCAGTGTAACTAGAGTGGAAGAGAAAAAGACGAAGTAGCAGGAGATAATTACCAGTGAAGGGTTTTAAAGCTGGAGAATGACAGGATCTGATTGACATTTTTAAAAGAGTGTTATGATTGGTGTATAGAGAACAGATTACAGAAGGGTAAGATTGGATGCAGAGACCAGTTGGGAATCCATTGCAATAGTCTAGGTAAGACACGATGAAGGATGTACCAGTAAAAGTGTTGAGAAATGATTAGATTTAGAATGTTTCCTTCTAGAGGAACCATCAGAACCAACCTTTTATTTTTAAAGTTTGAACTTATGGGAATAGCAGATGGATTGAAATGTCAAGAGCTAAGCAAAGAATGAAGGTCAACTTCTAGGTTTTATAGCCTGAGCAACTGGGTGAATGATAGAGATATTTTGCTAAGTTGGAGTGCACTACAGGAGGAAAAGGTATGGGCAGGCTGGTAGAAAAATCAAGATTCCAGTTTTAAATACTAGAGACCCACATAAAAACACAAAAAAAAAGAAAAAGAAAAAAGTAGGTGGATAGACCAGTCTAGAGGCTCAGGGGAGACTTGGATAGAGCTAGAGGTATAATTTCAGAAATTCTCAGTAAAGCGAAGACATTTAGGGTCAGGAGAGCTGAAAGAGCTCATGGATAAAGTAAAGTGAGAAAAAGTAGCTGAGGACTGAGACTTGAATTATTCCAACATTTAAAGGTAAAGAACAGGCAAAGATAATTGAGAACAAATAGTCAGTGAGGTAAGAGGAAAAACAAGAGTAGAGTGGGAGGAGCAAAGCCTAGGGTTGTATGGTAACCATAGTTACAAGATTATTCTAATAGTCTTGGTGTTATGGACTGAAGTGCATCACCCCCAAAATACATATGTTGTACCCCTAACCCAAAATGTGATTGTATTTGGAGATAAAAGCCTTAAGGAAGTTTTTAATTAAAGTTAAGTGAAGTCACAAGGGTGGGCTCTAATGTATTAGGACTGGTGTCCTTGTAAGAGGAAGATACATCAGTGCTTGCTGTCTCTCTCCCTGTCTGTGGATGCACAGAGAAAATGCCATGTAAGGACACAGTGAAAAGGCGGCCATCAGAAAGCCAGGATGAGAGCCCTCACCAGACACCAACCATGCTGGCATCTTGATCTTGGACTTGAACCTCCATAACTGAGAAAATAAAGTCTCTTTTAAGTATATGAAAAAGTGCTCAACATCTCTAATCATCAGAGAAATGCAAATCAAAACCACAATGAGGTATCACCTCACACCTGTTAGGATGGCTAGTATGAAAAAATAAAAAATAACAAGTGTTGGTGAGGATATGGAGAAAAGAATACCTTGTACACTTCTGGTGAGACTGTAAATTAGTATAGCCACTATGAAAATCAGTATGGAGGTTCCTCAAAAAATTAAAACTAGAACCACCATTTGACCCAGCAATACTACTTATGGGTATATATAAAAAAGAATTGAAATCAGCATCTTAAAGAGATATCTGTACTCCCTTGTTCATTACAGATTATTCAAAATAGCCAAGATATGGAAATCATATAACATATCTATATCTATCTATCTATCTTTCTATCTACCTATCTATCTATCTATATATATAGATAGATAGATATGGAGCTGGAGGACATTGTCAAACAAAATGAGCAAGATACAGAAAAAGAAATATTACATGATGTCACTTATATGTGTAATCTAAAATACAGCCATGCACTGTATAACAATGTTTCGGTCAATGATGGACCACATATATGAGGGTGGTCCCATAAGATTGTAATGGAGCTGAAAAATTGCTATTGCCTACTGACATTGTAGGCATAGTAATATCGTAGCACAACACATTACTCATGTGTTTGTGGTGATGTTGTTGTAAACAAACCTTCTGTGCTTCCAGTGATAAAAAAATGTAGCGCATACAATTATGTAGAGTATATAATACTTGATAATGATAATAAATGACTTTGTTACTGGTTTATGTATTTACTAGACTATGTTTTTCATTGTTATTTTATAGTGTACTTAAAAAAATGTCTGCTGTAAAATCATATGCCATGATACACCAGCAGCAGCCTTAATCCATCTTGTGTTCACTGTGTCTTGATTACCTCATTTTCTCTTGTGCTTGATTTGCCCCTGAGTTGTTTTGTACAGTAAAATGCTGTATAGGCTTGCACCTATGCCATATAGCCTAGTTGTGTATGGGCTATACCATCTCGGTCTGTGTAAATAAACTCTATGATGTTCACACGACAAAATCATTTAAAGACTCATTTCTCAGAACATATCCCAAGTTAAGCAGTGCATGACTATAGTCATGCTCAGAGAAGCAGAGTAAGATGGTTGTTGTAAGGAACTGGGGGAGGGGAAAATGGGAGGTATTGGTCAAAGGGTACAAAGATCCCATTATTCAGAAGAAGTAAGTTCTAGATATGTAATGTACAGCATGGTTACTATAGTTAACAATACAGTATTGTGCATTTGAAATTTGCTAGGAGGGTAGATCGTAAATCTTCTCAACACACACACACACACACACACACACAGTAACCACGTAGAGGTGATGGATATGTTAATTAGTTTGATCGTGGTGACCATGTCACAATGTACACATATATTGAAACATCAAGCTGTATACTGTAAATATATATATATATATATATATGTGTGTATATACATACACACACACATATATATAATTTTTATGTCAACGATATCACAATAAAGCAGCTAAAAATAAATATCTGTTGTTTAAGCCACATAGTCTATGGTATCTCGTTGAGACAGCCTAAGCTGACTAATAGACTAGGCTAGAGACTAGGATGATAGAAATAGGCACTGTAGATAAAAGATTTAAGTGGTATTAAAAAGTTGTAGAATTTACAAAACTTAGCAACTGACTAGATATGAGGGCTAAAAGGAGAGTCAAAGAACACTGCAAAAGTTGAAGTTGGGTAACTAGGAAGATGGTGGTGTCATCAATGAAAATACTGAGTGCAGAAAAAGAAGCAAACATGAGACAGATGGATGATAAGCACCCAAGGAAAATTTTGTTTTAGGTAGCACTTGGAAATGAGACTGGTAGAATAAACAGATGCTAAGGCTAGATATATGAATTTGGAGTCACCAGCATAAAGATGACTAATGTAGCTATTAGATTCCTTTATTTGTAGTAGACAACAAAGAAAAAAAACAGAAATAAAAAAGTGAGAAACTCTGCATATAGGAGGCAAGTAGGGCAAAAGAAAAGAACAGAAAACAGAAATACAGGAGAAACAGAGATACAGGCGAATAAGTAGATTATAGAAGCCAGGCAGCAGAGTTTCTAGGAGATGTCATCAATAGCACACAATGATAGAGAGGGGAGTTCAAGAAGATTGGAACTAAGAAAAGGACTCTGGTTGGTTACTTAAGATTACTGGTGAATCTGGAGAGAATAGTTTCTGGAGAGCGGTGGAGGCAGAAGGCAGACTGTAACAGATAAAGGAATGTTTATACGGAAAGAAAATAAAGGCAGGACGTATAAGCTACTCTTTCTCAAAACTTGACAGTGGAGGAAAGGGCAAAAGGAGAAGGAAGTAGCATGAATATATAATGTGCGGCAGGTTCAGAGAGTCAAGATAAAAATTGGGGAAAATAAAGGAAATAACTCTCTTAGAGTTATCAAATGTTTCAATATTTCTCATGTAACCAATATAAAATATATCTTTGGAGAGTCTATTTTTGAGTTATTTGATACTTCAATAATGATGGATAAGGTACTTAATATTTCATTAAAATTTATATAAAATAAAATATATATTCCAATAAAGATATCTATAAAAGCATAGTAACTATTCTTCACAAACTTCAAATAGATGAACACATTAGAACTTTCTTTGAACATGGTCAAGGTCCATAAGATAGGGCTAAGTATAAGAAGAAGGTTTGCATAACAACAATCTTCAAGTATTTATAACTGAGGCCCTCTAACAGGGTCCAAGATGAAAGCATGTGATAATGAATTATTAGGTCAGTGATTTCTTTTTAATCAGTGAAAATTTCTCTTCAAATAAAAGTTATATGGACACTCGTTACATGAACTGAAAAACAGAGTTGTTCTGGTTGAATGGAAAAGGCTCTTTCGAGAATTCCTGAAGTACCTCTGTGAATTACCCAGAAATAGGCAGAGCACAGTCTGAAAGCCACTGAACTATTGAGAAAGCAGGTGCAAAGGGAACAGAATATCTTAGTTATATAACTAGAAAATCCAAGGAAGGTGGTAGAAGTGTTGACTAAAACAGGGCCAATTTTAATTTGTCAACCCAAACCCTTTTTTCAATTTGGAGTAGGCCTTTAAAAAGCAGCCCCTATTTAAAGATGATTTTGGAAAAAATTTTGCCTTTGTTATTAATATGGCTTAATATATGATAAATCCTAAATGTGACTAACAGTCCAGTTTTTATGTGCTTGGGGAAAGATCTCTTCATTTAGTTTTCCTCCCAATTCATGGCTATCCCTGGATCATGGCTATTTCCACTTCGGCTATATCCACTAAAGCTCAATGAAGAAAACGGCCCATCCAGTTCATCATCAAGTAAATATAGTGAAAGCCCTTCAGCAGCATCTGAAACTTATATTTAAAAAGACTGTAATGTTAACATAATTATCATGTTTTTAGGAAAGTCAGGCTGTTTTTAAAACAATATCTCACTTAGTTATTCTACTCTACCATTAAAATTTCATTTGGTTTCTGTTTCCCTTTTGGACTACAAGTAAAAAGATGTGTAAGAATGAATACTTTTTCTATGAGCAACATGTTATGAAACACAGTATGATACAAACATTTTGTTTTAAAGGACTAATATATGTTTGGAAGTATTATTTGAGATCTGGTAATGGCCTATTCCTAGTTGTAGATATGAAACCCTGTCTCGGTCCAATCTGACAATATTAAAATCCTCATTAACTATAAGGACATGCTAACTTTTACCACTGAAGTACACCAGCTTTTAAATAATTCATCTGCCGTAATGAGGGAACAAAGAATGCCCTGTCCATATTTATTTCCTACCTTGTTTAATTGGCAAAACTCTATTCCGAAATGATTTGGCTTTCCCTGGATCATGGCTATTTCCACTTCGGCTATATCCACTAAAGCTCGATGAAGAAAACGGCCCATCCAGTTCATCATCAAGTAAATATAGTGAAAGCCCTTCAGCAGCATCTGAAACTTATATTTAAAAAGACTGTAATGTTAACATAATTATCATGTTTTTAGGAAAGTCAGGCTGTTTTTAAAACAATATCTCACTCAGTTATTCTACTCTACCATTAAAATTGTGAGTTGTTTGAAGAAGGAAATATGGATATTTTGAGAACAAATGTTTTATCACATCATTAAGCTTTTAAGGACAGAATGTCCGAAAAACTTGTCCAAGGAAACCACTTCCACACATAATGAGCCCTCAATTCTTACATTGGTAAATATATGGTAGATAAGTGCTGTGAGATGTAAATGTTAAAAATCATGAAGTTATAGAAGTTAAAACTAAGAGAGTTTAAAATTCATCTATAATCTTCATTTTAAAATGAAAAAAACTTCATTTTAAAAATGAAGAAACTTAATCCTATGGTCTAATGTCTTACCCAGGACCACATAGCTAGAGAGAAGGAATTGGGAATAAAAAACACAACTTTTCTACATTGAAATCCACTGCTCTTTGTACTATAAACAATGCTGCCTTTTCTATCTCCTTAATATCAGTGTTAAACTGAAATACAGAACACCAAAAGTAAAAGACATACTTACCAGGAGACGAAAAAGGAGAGCTAGTCCTGGCATAAGACACTGAGGTATTCTGGTCACTTTTAGGCTGCAATTTCATTTGTTTCTGTTTCCCTTTTGGACTACAAGTAAAAAGATGTGTAAGAATGAATACTTTTTCTATGAGCAACATGTTATGAAACACAGTATGATACAAAATGTTTAAGCTGACCAAAAAAGAAATGCCTGATAATTTAAGTGATATGCTTCAAATTGGTAATATGACAGTTAAACTGCAATCTTTAAAATTAAAAAAAATGTTTTTGGTATAGTAAAATCCACACAAACAAAGCTTTGGGTTACCAACTCCATCTTTACACAGGTGCAAGATTTCTTAAAAGAAAATATCTTGGGTTTTGGGAGCCCCTCAAACTATCCAATAAACTTTAAGAAATGAGGTAATATGCACAAAATGCTTTGAAAACATAAAATGCTACATCAATGTAATATACCTAGGAGCTCTGCTACTAGATAACGAACTGCTGCTGCTTCTCAGACGTTTTCTGTACCGTGGCCTTCTCCTCTTCTGACTCTGAATTGCTGACTTATATTCAGAGATGATATTTTTAATATGACTTTCAAATAAGGCAGATAATCGCAGTGTCATGCTATAGATCTGAAAATGTAGAAATTAGTCTTGTTTTACCAATTACATTAATTATATAAAAAATAAAAGGCATAAACATGCCTAGACAAATATCAGCATCATCTTTTCATATAAACATACACGCTCTTTCGCACACTTGAAAAAATCCTGAACAATTAAAATAAGATACCATTTTAAACTAAAACTTAATAAAGGTTTTTAAAAGACAATATTCAGAGCCAGCCGAGTGGCGCATTGGTTAAGAGCTGGCTTGGGATGCCAGAGGGCCCTGGTTCGGATCTCACATATGAGGGTCAGTGACACTGCCCTCTACAGCTAAGATGTTGAACAACAGCTCAACCTGGAGCTGGGCTGCTGTGAGTTGCCGGCGACGATGTAGGCTGCAGCCCCTGCTGCAGTGGGTTGCCATGGGCTACCATGTGTAGCCAGCAGCCAGTGTGAGCGGCCAGCAGCCACAGTGAGCGGCCATCCAGAAGCTGGGGACTGATTTGCCTCACCCAGGAAGAGCGCAATGATGGTGCCAACTTGGGCCAGTGAAGCAATGTCCTCTACAACTAGACTGAAGAACAAAACGACAGCAACTTGTCTGTTCCCCTTCCCCCAATTCCCCAGCGCTGTTCCCATC